TTTGAAGTAACTTGTGTTGTCTACCTCCGCAACCACTCACGTCGCAAGTGGTCTCATTACTGCAGTCATTCCCTAGATTACTTCCCTTTAAACATCCAAAACATAAACCTTGCATTGTCCTATTTTTCTTGGGTATTGAACTCCGAAAACCCCGAACAAGATAAAACCTGATGGTTTTCTGCATAAATCACACAACTTGATTATTCTACATCAAATTTACACTATAGTTTAAATTTGATGTAGAATAATCCGGAGGTTGCATAGACTTGGCGGGTCTTTTACTTCTTCTGCTTCGGTTAGCAAGTTGCCCAAAGCGATTCCTTGCTACTCTAGCCATTTCAGATATGAACTCTATCTGCTCGCTGAAATCTGGCTCCCTATCGTTTTTAGCAATCCGATCCATGATCTCCGCCCACTTATGCTACAGGGAACATAGCAAAGCTTTAACCATTTGTTCCAACGTGCTGAGCGAATTAAGATCAGCCGTATAACCCATTTGTTCCAGGGCGATCCTGCATCTTTCCATTTGAATAGACAAACAAGACAAGATATCAGCATCGACGTTATTCATGATTGGACCCTCCAATCCATCTGAAAGTGAGCGCGCTACCTTGTGTGGGTGCCCAAATAGATATTTAAAAGTCGTGCATGCCTTGTCGTATCCAACTGTGGGTGGCAACATGACGCAATCTTCAGTTGCGCTCCCAGCTTTCCCCTTACAGTATTGAAGCAAATATAACAAGCGTTGCCCATCGTCATTAATCTTGAAGGCAACGTATATTTGAAATTGACGAATGAACCTCCAGTACATTGTCGGTCGTGGGAGTGTTCGACCGTACTAATAAGCACAACTTCAAGGAGGCCCTGGAAGCGTGTTGGCCGAAAATGTTCCCTGAGGTTAGATTGTAGTTTATATCGTCATTAAGGGCCACGTAAACTTCAGGGTTCAACTGTGGAATCAGGCCTTACAAATGGCGTTCACTAGGGACATCAAGGGCATGATATATGCTCGAAACCTGGATGTTTCCGAAAACTAAGGTTTCTCACTAATGAGGCGAGAAGAAATAATAATAATAATTGATGTACATTTCACGGAGCCGGTGAGACATGCACAAGGCATGGTCAAATGATCAGAGCGAGTATATGTACAGTAAAAGTGTGAGTACATATGGTGGGGATCAGAACGAAAACAAAGTGTGAAAGGAACACAAACCGGACAAGGTCACCGACGAATTTATGGAAGATGGAGGATGCATTGAAAATGCATGTCACTAGAACTGAAAGTAATGATAAAACTGATCTCGGAAGGATTGGACGTACGGCAACGGTATGGGGAAATACGGAGAGGCGGTCTGTGGAACAAACGCTGCCTGATGGTGGAGGCATGAGGACAGGAATAGAAACGAAGGAATACAGCCAGAAAAATACGTCGGTAAAGGAACATATTTCACTCTATGCTGCAATACAACCTGAAAACACCATGTAGGTGAGGCAGGGGGCGTGATCCTCAACCTGGTCCGGAACGCGGACGCATGTAGTCAAAACGGTGGAAACAGCCGTGCCCAACAACCATTGCCGAAGCCAAATTGTCCGTTGTTGGTGAGGACCCCAAGCCTTCAGGCAGGCCCAAGGGAACCGAATCTGAAACATAGAAGCTATATGTAGCAGTCTGGGGTAGTAGCCAACTGAAGAGGGATGGGA